ACCCGACGCAGGAGCTCGGGGTCCATACGCTCGGTTACCGGGGGTGCCCAAGACCTCAATTTCCCCATAAACAATTTATAGAGGCGTCCTCACGGTTCGCTTTCGAGCGTCGCGAGTAGTTCGTCCCACTGCCGAGCTTTGACTCTGCGGATCTCTCTTCGGAGATCTCTCACCGCGGACCGCTATTCGCGGTAGAGACGCGCGATGTCCTCAGCGGACACCACGCGTCGTCGCCGTCGCGCCCGAGTGTACCGGCGCCGGGCGAGCACGTACAGCTCACGGAGCTATGCGATTTCGCCCGACCACCAGTGCTGGTCCCCTCGGCGGTGGCGCCATTACCCGCTGCATGGCGACGTCGCACGCGCGTTTCAATCGGTCACCCGCCGCACGGCGGCCGGCGACGCGAACGACAGGTCCACGATGGACGTGCCGTTCCACCGCACGCACGTGCTTACGGAGCCCCGATTGAGCAACCAGAGCCCCAGTCCGGCGGTCCAGTCAAGCATGGCCTTGCTCCTCACGTCTGTTCGCGGGGAACCCCAAGCCGCGGAGTGGGCGTTGAAGTCCCCCAGGACCAGAACCGGACGGGTCAGATGTCCGCTCAGGAACCCTCCGACCTCGTCCAAGTACCTCTCGTAGGACGAGAGGTCGCAGTTGGGCGAGGCGTAACATCCCACCACGACTATGTCGTTCCAGGAGACCACCACGAAGCCCCCTCCCCCCCGGCCCAACCGCTGTGAAGCAGCGCAGGCGTGGGTGTCCGCGGCAGTCCCCCTGCGATGATCGCCACGGAACCGTCCCGATCCCCGTACCACTCGTCTAGGTCGGGGATGCAGTACGGCTCGGCGGCTACAGCCAACCCAACGCCCAACTCGGCGAGCGTCTGCAGGAGCAAGTCCTGAGCCGTCCGCGAGTGGTTCAGGTTGGCCTAAAGAACCATGGACGGCGTGAAATTTAGTCCGTACTCCCTACACTCCCTGTGCTGGGCCGGCTGCGGGTTCGGTGCTGCGCCGGTCGGCGGGCCCTTCCTATTCGCGGCCGCGTTATTTTTTTGGACGGGTGCGGACGCGGTGTTCGACTCTTTCGCGCTAGCGGTCGCGGACGCGATGCCGGTCGACACCGGGCGTGCCGCCCTCTTCGCCTTTGGCGGGCTACATGATTTGCGCTCAGCCGATGGTCGGAGGTCCGACCGAGCCCGGCACAGACCGTCGCGATGCCCCGCGGCGCCGCACCTGAAGCATGCCGCGCTTCGAACTACTGCACTTGTGCACCGCTCCTTTGTGTGCTCCAAGCCCGGCACAGACCGTCGCGATGCCCCGCGGCGCCGCACCTGAAGCATGCCGCGCTTCGATCTACTGCACTTGTGCACCGCTCCTTTGTGTGTCCGTACTCAAGGCAGCGGTAACACTGCAGCTTTCGTGCTTCCGGCACCTGAACACGGGCGGACATCCAGCCGACTCGGATCGGCCCCCGCATTCAGCAACCTTGCGAGCAGCCACGAGGGGACACCGCGCCCAGACAGAGCCGAGCCCCGAGGCGGAAGGCCGGATCTCTTCGGTTCTCACATCCGCCTCCCCGGTGCACCCACCGACCCTGGCCAGGGCAGCGACCACCTCGCGGGGGGTGACGGACTCGTCGTGCCCCATCACCCTTAGCTCCGCTTTCTTGGTGGGAACTGTCACTCGCACGCCGGTTCCCTCCAAGACCTCGCACATCCGACCGGCGAGTGTGGCGGTTCGCTTTCCCCCCTCGGATCCCCCGAACTCCAGAAGGAGACCGCCGGAGGCGGCCCGACAGAGGTGCAGATCTTCGATTCCGAGTTCGTCGTGGCTAATACGCGATCTCGCGGTCGAGATCGCCTCCGCGCACGTCAGCCCCCCGCCATCGGACACGCTAATCGCGACAGCGGCCCGCGACGGTGGCCGCTTAAGAGTGGGGTCCGGCGTGGCGCTCCCCTTCTTCCTATCCGCCGTTTTCGATTTCGCCTTCGCCGAGCGCGGCGCAGTGGTGCTCGTTCCCGCGGCGAGGCGCACCGTCTTACTGCTAGCGCTTGTGGGCGCGCCCACGACGGCGGTTGACCGCCGTTTCTCGCGCTTCTCGCGACGACCGACAACGCGAGACCACGGGGTCTCGCTGTCCTTCCCGGCGACGACCGAGGCCGCGGCCGGTGCCGGCGTCGGGGCCTCGACAGGCTCGCCCCGTGAAGCCCTCGCATCAGGGCCCACCGAGGTCACTGCGCCGAGCGATCCGCGCGGACCGGCTTTCGGGCACGATGCCTCCCGCGTCTGGGCGGGCGGGACCAACTCATCCGCGGAAAACAGAGGTGGCGCCAGTTCCGCGAACTTCGTTTCGACGAGGAGGCTCATCTTCGTGGCGAGGGGCCCCGCCGTCGATGTGCGGTGCTGGCACACAGAAGCCGCACAGAAATTCGTTCACCAGAAACACCACACTACACCCCGGGGCGCAAGTCCCTGGGCACTGGCACCCACGCACTGCACAAACGCACTGGTACTGACACCCGCGCCCGAGAACACAGTATACGCCACAAAGAGCCCTCGACTGGAGGAGCGTTACCGACACGTCCGTCTTGCTCGACATCCAGTCAGAAACCCAGCGAGCAGCTAACCTACGCAGCACTGTGCTTTCCACTAAAGAACCTTCCACAGAGAAACTTCGCCGAGAACCCTTCCAGGAACATGGGTTCCCGGCCACCAGCACGCCAGCACACCACCTTTACACTGGTGCACTGCACGCCCGAAAAGCAAGCTTTTTCGTAAGAAATTCACGAAATTCACGCTTAACCCTTTCGCTAAGGCAGTGTGCTCCGTCGGAGTGACACCGCTGAACGGGCCACCGTGCCGCCGGAGTAGCGGCACTGAACGGAGCACTGCGCCGGAAAGTGTGCATATCGCGCTTAGGTAAACTGGTGTTCGGACTTACATCTTTCGGTGCAGCCTCGTCATTCTCTTTATCGTACGATTCTTTAAGTGTTATACAGCAACATATTTGGAGATTTTGCAATTATTATCAATAAAAATGTATTTACAAATTAAAAATTACACTTTGCAATAACAAATTAAAATTCTTATTAATTTAATTCACAGTGATAAATTTTAAAACAAGGGTCGACACATAATCCCACATTACAGGTTTTACATTCATGCACCGTTTCGCGTCTTTTGTCGTTCGCATGGCAAACAACACACCTTCTTCTTGGTTTCTTTCCTGCCGATTTGTAAACCGACAGAAACTGTCGTTCTATTAATCTCAATGGATTATTATTCCCCGTTCGATGTGGATGACTTATACTTTCATGGTGCTTTCCTAGTATCTCCCTAATTAGTTGCAATTGAAATCTTGCCATAGATATTGGTTGTTTCATCTTATGTGTGTACAGACAATGAGCGTTCCAGACGCAAATGTCCACCAGATGGAAGAAAAATTTCCGGTACCATTTCAAGGATTTCCGTGTCGAGTTCACAGTGCTTATGACCATATCCGCTTTATCCACTGCACTCATTGAATTATTACAATCTAACACGCATACAGGTTTCTGAATAACTTTTTCTCCTCCGTGCCTGATTAACGTTTTAAACTCTGCTGTATGCATTGTAGAAATCATATACACCTCTTTCTTATCCATCCATTTTTAACACTTTATCGACCGGTCGTGGTTGAGGCTGCCACTTAGTAACTACCGGCTTAGTCATGCGCGCATTTACTCCCAGTACCGGCTAAATTTTCGCTATTCATTGTGTTGTGCTTATTCCTTTTGCTTCAAAGGAATGTAATTTTATTGATATTTATACTTTATTTTGCATTTATTTTATATAATAAAGTGGCCTTATAAACTAACATTCATAAAATAAATTCAAGATAATAGTAATTAAATTTTTTAATAATTCTTTAGAGTGTGGTATCTTTCCTAACAGTCACCCTTATGTAACGGAATATTACAAAATTTACATACGAAACATGTTCGACTTCTTATCTTTTTCGATGCACGTACTCTACATTGTTTTTGGGGTGTTTTGTTTCTACCACTTGTCACTATTCTTATAAGTTTATGCTTCTTTATGCATGATAATCTTTCTGGATAATCTGATCTTCGTGCTCTTCTTGCAGGCTCTGAAGTATTTGATTTCTTAGTTGAGTCTGCTGTGTCGTCACTTTGAGAATCTGTTGATGATAAATCGGATATCCACGAAATTGCCGCTTTGTGCAAGAATTTCTTATATGTCATCTTCTTTCCGTTCAATGTTGTGTGCGTTTTAAATGAATTATAAAGTGCACAATTGATTAAAAACATTACAACTCGTTTGGTCCACTTTTTAGTTTTTCTAAAAATAGAGTAGTACGACAGATATTGATCTGCGCGATCTACCCCCTTCATATACTTTTTGTAATCAATTATCGACTCAGACTTTTGAATTGATATGTGTTTTGGAGATAACAAGGAGGTATCGCGTCGTTCCCTTGATCTTCCTGGTCGCATGGTTTCCGCCCGAAATAATTCGTCTTCACGGTTGTAAGGCGCGAAGATATCCCGATGTGGATGGACGGTTCGACGCGACACGGTATCTCGTCGACTTAACGAGGAGATACGAAAATCGTCTCGGGTTAGAAGAGAACTGTTTCAAGAGAACCGATGTCTCTGATGTTTCGCATGGAAGCCGTTAGAAAGAACCGGTGTCTTTGAGAGCTCGTACGGAAGTCGTTAGAAAGAACCGATGTCTTTGAGAGCTCGTTCGGAAGTGTCTTTGACCAAGGGCGTTCCCTTGGTTCGCGAATCCGTTACCTTGGAGCGAGGGAAGGTTCCCCCGAAAAACCACGATAGTGGAGGAAACCCTCTCCTCCAAGGTGGGGTACCTGGGGTTCACCCGCGCGCCGGTGACCCCATCGGCCGTTTGTTACCCCTAGCGAAGGCCTGAGGCTTCCAACGTGTGCGGACCACGTGGAGCCCTCAGGCCTATTGTCAGCCAAGTCTTAAGAGCCGTCGCCTATTTCTTTAAATAATTTATAACTGGCTGAACTTTTACAAGTCTGTTTGAATTTGTGGGTATATCTTCGTTATTACAAAAGTGCCAGCTCTGCAGTATCTGCATAAATCTGCTTCTGCTCATTACTTTCGAAAAAAACGGTGTTTCGATGCGTGGCTCAGTTGACCAGTAATCGTGAAGTCTCTCTTTTTTTACTTGTCCCATTACAACAATTAGACCTAAAAAATTTTTCATTTCTGGCAACGTAATATCCACCCATTTCTTCGTCCTTGAAATATTTTTATATTTATCGATTACTTGATAGCGATATCTATTCGATTCTTTAACCAAATATTCCAAAAGGTCATCTCCAATAAATAAATTCACAATATCCATTACACTTTCTTCAGATTTTAGGAGAATTTTTATACCTGGGCTGCCTTCGAAAGGTTCCAAAATAATTGATTTGTCATATGTTGACCATGTATCGATGTTTACTTCAGCGGTGTCATCATTATCACTTTCTGAATCGCTATATTGCAGTGGCAATAATTTCCGCGGCTTTCGAGTGTTTATAGAAGAATCACTGCTATCACCATCACTGTCACTTTCTGAATAACTGCTATAGTCTGACAAAGTATCTAAGCAAAACTCTTCATCTGCACGGTCTTTATCCATTAGAAACGGTAAAAAAGATATTATAATTGATAAAGATATGGAGAGGTTAGTATACAGTTACTGCGAAAACAGTAAATCCCACTGTACGGGCGGCAAATAATCAACGACGTTGACGCCGCGTAATTATAAAAACAACAACAACCCACTGTTCGAAAACCGTCGATAGCTAAAAGCCGATTAACAGACTAGCGGTCGATAAGCGTTGGCAATCGAAAAGCCGATAAATAGGCTAACGATCGATAAAGTGTCGAGACCAATAAATTATCGGATGATCTAAATGCTGCTCCCCCCTTTTTTAATCGTTTGTCAATTTTGGGCATTCCTTTTCTCCTTTTGATTGTGCGGTCCCGCACGCGTTTGTGCCATTATGATGCAAAAATTTAAATAAAGCGGGACTCGCATACCAGTTATCTACGTAAAGGGTATGGTCCTTTCCTAGATGCGGCTTCATAAGGGTTTCCACAATTGCTTCAGATTTTCCAATGTTTAAATTTTCTGTATCCACCATGGTAGATGATCTGGCATAAATTATTAGGTCTTGCACGAACCCTGTCTCACAGTCGCTCAAAATAAACGATTTTATACCAAATCTGCTTCTCTTCGATGGTATGTACTGCTTAAACGAAAGTCGCCCTTTATACAAAAGCAGACTTTCGTCAATGCATAGCCGTTGATAAGGTTGAAATGATTCATTAAATGCTTTTCGTAATATTTCAACGACGTTTCGTATTTTGTATAAACGATCATTAGTATGACAACATCATCGGTGAAATGTAGCATTTGTAGTAATTTGAAGTAACGGTCTCTCGTCGTTACTTCTCCAAAGATATCGCTACGCAGAAGTTTATCTTTGCTCCAGTACTCTGCTAATGATAATTTCTTATTGCGTGTCATCAATAATGACACAGCAAAAATCTGACATATTTACATATTTTAAAAAACAATATAATTCGGCTAGTCCTGTTCCATCTGACATATTTACGTTATTATTACTCTTTCGAGATCAATATCGATTACTTTCCCTTGTAATCAACGCAACGAGCTCTTCAGAAAGTAAAAGTTGAAAAAAGTCTAAGATTTTTGCGGATCTATTAATCCTAGGGTTAAAGGCTTAAATATTCTACATCATTGTATCCTGATAGGTCTGTAAAACCGCGTGGACTTCTTCTACATTATCTGATAATTACTATTGTTTATCAATTGAATGGGAATCAAAGCCATTGTAAAAATTCCCTCATTTTGAAAATCATCTGTACCAGTTTCTTGTTTATATTGCAAAAATCTGGAGCGTCCATCGAATTTACGATATAAAATTAAAACGCTGTCATTTAAATTATCCGGTATAGAAAACGTGTCAACAATGCTCTTACTTATTTCGTCTAATAAATTTTTGTAAAAGCACTTCACTTGTTTGGTTATTTATAGAAATATCTTCCATATAAAATCTCATCTTTGTTTGTAACGCTTTAAAGAATGATGGATATAAATTATGGTTATTTCGCAGTCACATCTTGGTGGAAATAGTATTATGAGCATGATAAATGTCCTTAAGCGGACTAAATACAATTGTTGACTGGTGACAAGAGCATTTCATGCATAACATCTGTAACATGTAATTGTATTTCAATAACGTAGCGTCTATTAGTTTATAATTTATTTCGTAAATGTAAATTTGTTCCACAAAAAATATATAAGATGTTCGAATGTATATGAGTAGATAACAAATGTCTTGCGTGCCGATTTACTGGAGAAAAAAAAAAAAAAAACATTGTCTATTAACCCTTTACATTCGAGAGATGAGCTTCAGTCACCGTTTCATAAAATTTGGAAAATCGATATTAATTAATAAATCAAATTTAATGTAATGTAACAGTGTGCGAGGTATCGAAATCAAATAATTCTACAATTCTGTTATTTTATATATCTTTATTTACTACTCAAAAAAGTATCGTCAGTTTTTTAGTACAGAATCTTTGAATTTCTACTCTTCTATAGCCAAAAAATCGTCAAGTGCAAAAAGTTAATCTTTGTTCTTCGATTCAGAATCTTTCCTAGAATCTGTTAATATACATAAACAATACTCGTGAAATGCACAGAAATTTTGCTCGACGAAACCCATTATACACACTTATGGTTGACCGACGTGATTATATTTTCTCTGTTTTCATCGAG